GTGTGTGTGTGTGTGTGTGTGTGTGTGTGTGTGTGTGTGTGTGTGTTTGTGCCCGCGCGCCTGTGTTTCTGTGTATGTGTGAATGTGTTTGTGTGTGAGTGTGTGTATTTGTGCGTGTGTGTATATATTATACGCATGTATGCGTATGTGTTTGGAATAGTGAAGTAATCAAAGTATAATCACTACTTCCCGTCCGTTTTGGAATCATCGTCATCATCAAATACACTCGTAAACGTCGACTGTATTAATTCAAATAATCGTAATTTGAGCAGTGTACACAACTCTCAAAACTGTTTCATTGCTACATAAATAACCTGTTCACCCCTTTCGGACCACTTTCATAAGCAGTCACAAGCACATTTTTTGTAAGGTAACAATTGGATTGGTAGAGTCTACCTCAATTTGGTGAGGAGGGTTAACTCCTAATGAACTAGTGGCTGCTGTGAGTGCTTGTTTTTTCCTTCGACATTTTACGGATTCCCTGACTACGAAATGTTAGACAAAGACAGCCAAATTTGAAACCAAATAACGTGTACATAATACGTTTGTAATAATATTGTCTTCTGTTTCTTTGCCTTCAGTTCGTTCATTCACATCTGTAGTAAAAAAAATCTTCGAAAAATCATGAAACCGATATTCACACTGTGTGTTTTAATGTTATAATTCCGCTTTGACCAAAGTGGAAATACAGTAATTATAAAATGAGATATTTTCTCGACTATTTTGGCGGGTGAACATACAGTAACAATGTGAATTCAGCGTTTATTCTCATTCATAACCCGGTGACGCCACCTCGTATAAAACGTTTTGTTAATTATTTAGGTTCCTATTGTGGGAAAGTTTTTCTTGTGATGGCCTCTTTTGTACCTGGTTCTTTGTCTCACTTGGACTACCCTTTCAAACAGGTCAGCCTTCGCCCCCTGGTGTAATGAAAAAATAGAAGAAATGTACGACAGAATACAGCGCTCACGAGTCCTTCACCTATGCGGCAAGATAACCTAGAATCTAACCTATTGCGTTTTCCCCCTCTATTCTCCCACCACATGCTGACTGTGTGATGAACTCTCTTGTGCGTGTGTGGTGACGTAAACAATTTGTTGAGTGAGAGATTGTAAAAAATGCATGGGTGCTCATTATACCATGCATGCGGATGTGTGCAGGGGTGCGTAGATGCATGTGTGTGTGTGGAGGGGGAGGGGGAGGGTTGTGGAAGGGGGAGGGGAGGCGTTTTGTAATGCGAAAGGGTGGATTACCACACATTATGTAAAAGGAAAGTGAGAGAGATGGGAATGGTTAATTT